GAAGGCCATGGCTATTAGGTTGGAGGCCATGGCTATTAGGTTGGAGGCCGTTGTTATTAGGTTGGAGGCCATTGTTATTAGGTTGGAGGCCGTTGTTATTAGGTTGGAGGCTATGGCTATTAGGTTGGAGGCCGTTGTTATTAGGTTGGAGGCCATGGCTATTAGGTACTCAAGAATCCGGGACCTTTCCGGAAGTTTGCTTCTGTTCGCCCCCGTGCTTCAGTGGAAGGGTTCCGACAGCCCCGGTTCGTAACGTCCGAACGCTCCGTTTGTAGCGATGCCCTTTGCTCCTATAGTAGCTTCTTGCTCCGAACCTGAAAGCACACTGGGTTGTAGAAACAAATTGTCTGGTCGATGATCATGGAACCTGAAAACCAGTGCATCATCCTGGGTTCCTTGTGCAAAACACTCCGGGTCGATCCGTCCAAATGGTTCCTCCAGCTTGGCGATCTGCTCCCGGATCACCTCGGGCCTCGAGGAAAGGGCAAAGCATCTCATGCTTCCGCGACGACGCGTGACGCGTGAGACTCGTGACCACCGAAGCATGTGGTTCAACACATACCCAGACACGACGAATGGGACTGGCATGGGGTGGTTGAAGAGGAGGATGAGAAGAGGGTGGTTATATCAAACAACACATACCTTTTCATCTTGCTTATATTTACCATACATTGGGGTGGTTGAAGAGGGGTCAATGGGGCGGCATATATACCAGTCCCATAGAGTGTCTGGGATAAGGAACACATTTGAGGAAAAACATTTAGGAAAACACAACACCCCTCAGGGGTTGAGAAACAAACACTTAAGGAACACTTCAGTAACCATGTTGAACAATTTTACCAACATTTGAAACACATAAGGAAACGTGTCAAGGAGTTGAGAACCGTTGAAACATTTATATTAAAACAGCTGAACCGCATATAGTGCAACTTGTCAACAACATGTCACGCAATTGAAACATGTGAAACGAACACATTGAAACTTGTCAACGATTTTGAAACATTAAAAACCTTGCCAAGGACTTGGGACACTTAAATTGAATAGAAGGCGTGCTCCCTGGTGATGTAGATTTCCTGGCATCATATGCATAAAACATTGTAAATTACAGTATATGTTGCATGTCCATGTGCCAACCCCCTACTAAAACATTTTTTCAGCGCTTGTCCACTTCAAAGAGTAACATGTGCAAAAAACAACAGGACATGCAAATCTGGCAACACCTCTGTCTATCTCCCATCAGAAAAAAGAAGCAATGCATCAAAAAAGTGTGTCAATCCAAAATAAACGTCACAATATCTAAAAGAACACATCGAAAACAAACAACAACACTTCTGAATATATCCATTTGCATGCTTTCGTTTTCTCATATTCTTGGAAGGTCACCCCCCAAGACCCCTGGAAAGTGGTTTTTTCTTTGACGTTTAACGCTTTTGAATGTAAGGCTGGGCACGCACAAACTGGCGCCCCAGGTTTGGCCGATTTAGCCGAAGTCTTGGAAGTCTACTATTGAAATCCCTGCATTCCTATATAGTCCTATTGAACTCCTTTTAAACTCCTTTGAATTCCTATTGACTCCCATTTAAATCCGTTAGCTAAATTCTGGGAATCCCTTGTTGAATCCTTTCAAATTGTTGCAAACATTTAACTATTACACAAAAGGAGGTAACCCAGCACACTAGAAGTTTTGAATGATATAAGTTATTTAGAATTATCTGTTAACATTCGAAATGATTAAGTTCCTATAGACTCCTTCTGATTGCCATCAACTTCTTTAAACGTTCCTTTTGGTTTCCAAACACGTTGTTTCTATTTGATTCCTACTACATACATAAAGCAATGGTTTTAAAGCATCTGAAAGGCAAATTCCACGTCAATGCCAACGCTCCCCTTTGAAACGTGTCAAGCAATTGAAACGGGCACAAAACAATTGAAACACATATTGAAGCTTGTCAAGGACTTGAACCACATATTGAAGCTTGTCAAGGATTTGAACCACATATTGAAGCTTGTCAAGGATTTGAACCACATATTGAAGCTTGTCAAGGACTTGAAACTCTGGAAGCAAATATACTGAAGCTTGTGAGGAATTGAACCATTTAAATACATATATATATATATATCTTGCCAAGGGATTGAAACGTTTAAAAACATATTGACACGTATCAACGAAGTGAAACGGTTGAAACACATGGTCAAACTTTTCAAGCCATTGAAACTTGTGGAACAAACACATAGATTCAAGAGTGTCAAGGAACTGAAACATTTCAAACACACATAGATTACACCTTGTCAAATAACTGAGACTATTGAAGTTTGTTTATCAACACTTGCAAAGGACTTGAATCATTTGAAGCACACAGTGAACTTGCCAAGGAGCTGAAACATTTGAAACACATATAGCAACTTGTGAAGGGATTGAAACATTGATATAATACATGTATTGAACCGTGTGAAGGATGTGAATCATTTGAAGCGCATATTGAAACTTGTCATGGACGTGAAACAATCGAGCCAATATACTGAAATGTGTCAAGGTTGCGAACAATTTGAAACCCCTATTGAAACTTGTCATGGACCAGCTTCTTCAAAGTGACCTCTTTGGAGTGCCCAAGTGACCTTTTACAGGCCCAAGTGACCTCAAACTGGGATATCAAAAGGTCACTTTGAAGAACCAGGGAAGTGAAACAATTGAAACACATATACTGAAACGTGTCAAGGATGTGAAACAATTCAAAGACGTATACTGTGTGGTGTCAAGGATGTGAAACATTGTCATGGAAGTGAAACAATTGAAACACATACACTGCACTGTGTCAAGGATTGAAACAGTTGAAACACATATTGAGTGAAACTTGTCATGGAAGTGACGCAGTTCAAGCACATGTACTGACATGCGTCAAGGATGTGAAGCCTTTGCAACACATATCGAAGCTTGTCATAGAATTGAAACTTTTGAAACACAAAGACATGCAACTTGTCAACAAATTGAAAAAAACAATGAACCACATAAATTCAACTTTTCTGTCAAGGAACCGAAAAGTTCACATATTTAAACTTCTCTAAGAAATTGAAACAATAGAAACACATATATGTACTGAAACTTGCCAAGGAGATGTCGCAATTGAAATACACATATATTGACCCGTGTCCGAGAATTGGAACATGTGACACACATACTGAATCTTGTCAAAGATCTTGACTTTTTGAAACACACATTGAAACTTGTCAAGGATTGTTTTTTGCATCGGAGACACATATTGAAACGGGTCATGTGCAAGGGTTTGTTTAACATTTGAAACACATATTGAAACCTGTCAAGGAATTCAAACAGTTGAACCACATGTTGAAGCTTGGCAGGGAATTGAAACAGTTGATATCGCAACTTTCAAGGTTCGTTTCAGTTAAACTACGGGCTCAACAATCAAAAGGTGGAGTAGAATGGAATATGTATGCATATATATATATACATATATACATGCTATAGTATCTTATTCTGGCTACATGTGTGCAATAGTTAGCAATAAAACATGTATATATGTATACAATAATTTTTCCTCATCTGTGGTGGGGCAACAAGCTCTTTCCACGTTTCACGCGTGGATTTCGAGCGCGAGAGGTAGTAAATTATTGTATATCTGTATGTCACATGATATACACAACCATTACCGTCCCTTTGGTGTCTGATGTTCGTGGTGAATCGATCCTGCGACCTCGCCTGCTATCGTTCGACGGTGTCCACTCATGGCCGCTATACGTGGGGTCCACTCATTCAGGCATGAACATATATACTCGATAGAAGTCCAGTTCGACTATATGTTGACCGACTGATGGATCCAGGATCTTCCTTGACTGGTCACCTAGTCAGACCATTCTTTGTATAGTTGACAGGACTACCAGGGTATATATATAAAATTAACCCGTATTCGAGTTTTGAACAAATCTGGAAAGCACTTGTTTGTACAAGACACCCGTGCTCAACATGAGCAACTATCACCTATATATATATATACATATGGTTATGCGGGTGTTTTGCCCTACCACGGTTTGGGACTTTTTGCATAAACACTGCGTTCGTGCATGAGACAGGCAAAGAATTACAATACTCTAGGAATAGAAGATGAAAAGCAAACAATGAATAAAGAATGAATGAGTCCTTTCAATTTCATTTATTTACATAGATATTATTATTCCTTGCATTGTCCCTTTGAACAATGATCAATTCCTTTCATTTTCATTGTCCTGTTAAAACATAGCACTTCTGCTCATTACTTTGCAAAAGAAAATGAAAGGCA